ACCTCCCCCCCCTGGACACGCCATGGGGACAGACCCCGCCAGGCCAGTTTCCTCAGCCACAGGCTGCATTCCCTGCCCTCAGCTCTGTAAACACGGGGAAACACGTGGAAAACATTTCCACCAAATGGAGCCAAAAACAGTGTCCTTCAAGGCCCAGTGCCCGCCTCCCACGCCCAGAGGCTGTGGAACCTCTGTATCCAGGAACTGCAGGTCTCTCACGATGGCAGGTGCCTGGAAATGACTCAGTCGCTCCCTGTGACTCACTGGCCTGAGAGGCACGGGAGTAGGAACTTAAAAGTCAGCCTTGCAGAACCTCTCACAGTCTGTGAACCTGGGCCAGGGACCATAAGAACCCAGCCCATTGCTATGGAAGCAAGGCAGCCATCTTCACCTGTAGGCATTTGTATTCATTCCCTCCATTTATACCGGGTCAGTGGTTTGTTTTCCTCTCCAAATGGCCTCTTTTGTTCTATGACACCAGCCAGCCCAGGACTCACAAGCTTCTTGTGAGCTCAGCCCCTCCCAGGGAAGCCCTGCCATCCTCTGGAGGACAAGCATGGGGGCAGGAAGGGTCCAAAGCTCCAGGAAGCCACCCCATCGCGGCCACTGTAAGCTGTGGCCCAAAGAGACGGCCATCTGTCTCATCCAAGATGGATCCAGGCTTGCTTAGAGCCTGGCTGGGATTGCACAGATGGAGAGGGGCATCCCTGCCATCCCCCAAGGGGGCGAGCCATGCTCATCACCCACCCTCATCTGCCCAGCAAGCCTTCGGGCCCAGGGTCCTGTTGACTGGAGGACAGAGCTGGGCCAGGTAGACTGAACAAAGTGAGGCCCAGTGTTGGGCACTCGACCTGTTCTCACACAGCACCCTGGAGGTGAAATGCAGGGAGGAGGCAGGGTAGGGGCCCATCCTGGAATACAAGGTCAAGGCAGAACTGCTGTCCTCCCTACAGTCCAAGGGATAGGGCAGAAAAGCAACTGGTCTCCCACCCATCCCTGCTCCCTGGAACTCGGCCATGGTCCTTGTGTGCTTCTCCCCTGCTCTCCCACATGGAGGCCTGTGGCCTGTAAGAGGCCCGGCAAGTTCCAGCATCCCTTTAGGAGTTGCCAGCCTTGCAGGGCAGTCCCAGCTCTACTCCTCTCCAGCTGTGTAATCCCAGACAGGCTCTCTAGGCCTAGGAGACCACCTGGTCTGGGGCACCAACCTTCTCAGGTGTCAAAGGACACACCTGGAGCCCCAGGGGGAGGAGGACTCATCCCTTGAGAAAGCAGGAGAGCCATGGGGACAGGGCCATCCTGAAGCTCTTGGGCCGAGAGAAAGGAGGTGACACCCTAAGACAGAGGAGGATGACCAAGCACCTGAGGAGACAGGCTCAGCCTCCAACGCTCCAGTTTTTGAGGGAGGCAAAGGCCTTGTCTTGGCCACAGCTGGGAGGAAATGAGCCACAGGACCCAGGAATGCAGCTGGGCCTCTTGACATTAATATGCTCACCTGTGGTTCTAAGATGAGGCCGGAGCACGCGCTCTCCCAGCACATGCATGCTCGGAGCCTGTGGGTTAGGCTGAATCTGCTACTTTTAATATTCTTTTTAAATTTTTCACTTGAGCCCTGGCCAGTATTCTCAGTGGTTAGAGCGTGAGTCCAAGCACCAAAGGGCCTTGGGTTTATGATTTCTGGTCAAGAACACATTGCTAGGTTGCAGGTTCAATCCCTGGCCTCAGTCAGGACATGTGTGGGGACTGATCTCTTTCTCTCTCTCTGTCTCTCTTTCTCTCTTCCCTCCCCGCCTTCCACTCTCTCAAAAAATCAATGGAAAAAAATATCCTCTGGTGAGGATTAACAAAAACAAAAAAACAAAAACAAAAAATCTTACTTGCATTTTCCTGCATCATTAGAAAGACCACAGAGCATAATTTTATTGGCTGCCAAGCAGGGACATACCCTGCCTCCCTCGTGCCCAGGTCTCCACTGTGGCTTCCCTGCCATCATGAAACACTCAGAAATGGGAATCTTTGCCCTTGAACCAGGGGGTATGCAGGAGGCAGGGAGGGGCCTGTCATCACCCCAAGGCAAGGAAAGCCATACCTGAGCCCACCTGTAACCCATTTATGGCCTCTCCTGCAGAACCTCTAGCTCAATATTTCCAATTCCTCTTTTCTTCTTCTTCTTCTTCTTCTTCTTTTTTTGAGCTAAAGCAGCAACAAACATCCCAGAAGTGAATGTGGACCCATTCTGTCTTTCCTTAGCAGAAGCCTCATCATGATATTCAGGTGCAGGGGTGGTGGTGGGAGGTGGGGCAGGCACCTCCATGGAGGATCTGTCCCTCACTGCACATAGGAGGAGCCAGTAGGCTGGGGTCAGAGGACTCAACACACTGGCTATGTGAACAGCTGGGCACCCTGAGCCAGGCCCTCCCACCTCTGTCTTGGGACACCAGCGGCACCCATCTAGCCTTACAGTGTAGTGACAGGAGCCAGATCCTACCTGCCCCTCTGGGCTCTGTGATCTCCCAACCTCACTCCCAGAGCAGGTGGCGGGTTACCTGTGGCAGAGTCTCTGGTTTCACCTGCATGGTAGAACCAACTGCTCTGGGGAGATCTATGCCTTGCCAGCTGCCTCTTGGAGGGAAGGAGAGAAAGGTGGGGGGAGGGGGTGTAGCCAGCCAGCCAGCCCGCCCGGCCTCACCCAGAGCCCCCTCCCCCAGGCCTGCAGGGAACAGCCCCCTGGGCCAGGTGTGGACACTCACCACCTTACCCTGCAAGGAGCCCAAGTCCTGGGGCATCCAGAGGTCGGCTCCAGGCTCCCCCATCTAAACTGCACACACACTCAGGCCCTAAATTAAAATGTCACAGGCCTATGGGGAGGCTCGGGTTTCCTGCCGCAGAACATGAGCCTGCTTGATAAAACCATTTTGGTTTTGATAAATGTGGACTTTCTGTGGCAGAGACAAAGGCGCCCTTGAGTCCAGAGGAGAACCTACAACGGCACATTGCTGAAAGCTATTTCCTGATAATATTTTTAGCACCTGGAAAAAAACAAAAAACAAAAAAACATTTTTTTTTTTCTCCTCTGGCCTGTGGAATTGTGTTTTGTGTTGTTGTTTTTGTTGTTGTTGTTTTAATGTAATGCCCAGTGCGGGTGAGGCCTTGTGTTAACCCCCAGGCAGGGCTACAGATCAGCCCAGGGTGAAGCCATGGAGTAAGCAGGCTCTCTGAGTGGGCCTGGGCCTGAGCATCTCACAAAGCGGCCCAGGAGATCCCAGGGGTGGTGGGGTTGGGAGACCCTGTTCTGGTGTCCTAGGGTCTCCAGCCCTCCCACAGCTGCACCTCGTGGGACTAGAGCATTTATAGGACCCTCACTCTCGGGGTGCTGCCACTGTAGGGCTGGCCTCCTGAAACTCTCACATGGCCCTGATTGCATCCTTAACGGGATCTGTGTAAACCGGTGGCCTCAGAATTGTCCACACACACAGAGACCCTTCCACTCGTTCCTAAAAATCATATGAAATGTTCCTTGTTTTGACTGCAAAACAACATGCTCATTGAAGGCGTTTTGGAAAATACAGAAAAACAAAGACAAGTATGAAACCTCTCAGGACCTGGTGACTGTTCTCTCTGCTTATCTTTGGGGATTGGGAGGAGAGGGGGAGAGAAACCTGTCTTCAGGGGTGGGGGGTTTGGCTGGAGTTGCCAACATCAGGACTCTGGGAGCAGAGAGGATAGGGGAGGAACTGAGGCCCACAGTTGGGTCTTGCCCTGGGCCTGGGGAGCCAGAGGTGAACAGATGCCCCGTGAGGGCAAATGCAGTGATGTCCCAGGTCAGCAGTCCCAGCGGTGGAAGAAGGGCTGGCATCACCACCGGCCAGGAACAGAGAATCTGAATTGTAGGCTCTTGAGGTCTTACTCCCACCCAGGGGCCCAGGGACAACAAGCCACTTGCAAAGACCCCACTGACCAGCCTTCCCCAAAACGACTGCTTTGGGCTGCTTTACATAGGAGTCGCCAAAATTCTCTTGCTGCCTGCACCCGGCAGGAAACCTCTGGAGCAGAAACACTTTGTTTAATATCCTGAGGTTCCCCAGGCCAGCGGTCATTCCCACATTAAACCAGATAGGAAGCCTCGCCCCTGCACAGGAATCCAGAGCCCCAGACTCAAGGCTAGGGAGGTTTGGGGGCAATATAGGGCTGGCCTCTGGCCTGTTCAAGAAGGGTTCATCCGGGCACTGCTCGGCCAGTGTGGTCCCCACCCCTCCACCCCCACCATTGACACTCTGGCAGTGAGGTGGCCGGGTTCCCTGGCCGGGCAACAATCTGAAAGAGCACGCGGAAAACCTGCCCCCCAAGTTAAGGTCTGTCCCCAAACTGCTCCAAACACAACACTGCGGCCTCATGGAGGAGGATGGTCCCCATCGCGAGGCGTGCACCCACGAAGCCCTCACTCCCCAACACCCGGCCAGGGGGGTACGGGAACGTGGAGGCCACGGGGGGCGTGGGCTGGGCCTCCAAGCAGCGGAGGACCACCAAGCTGCCCCAAGCTCTGGGACAGGGGCTGGGTGCGCGCCCCCGCGCTTTCTGCTGGTCTGGCGCTTTAAGAGTCGCCCTATTTGCATGGCCCCGCCCATACCGGTGTGGGGCCCGGCTCCGTATTTAAATAGCTGCCCCGGGGGCGGGGCCCGCCCCGATCGCGGTCCCGCCCGGCGCCTTCCTTCGCGGAGCGGCCACCGGACCGCGGCCGGGCGAGCTCGCCGGTGCGGGGCGCGGAGCGATCGACGGCGCGGCCGCGCTGCCCGAACGCCCGCTCGGCCCTGCGGCCACTCCCGATAGCCGCCTCGCTCCGGGCGGCGGGGACCGCGAAGCCCCGCTCTGTCCCTCTCTGTCCCCATCCTATTCCCGCTGCGCCCGCTCCGCTCCGCTCCGTCCCCGCTCCGTCCCCGCTCCGTCCGCAGCCGTCCCGGCTCCGCGCTGCTTTGTCCGCCCGTCCCCGCCGCCCACCCCTGGCGATGCCGTGCGGTGCCGCCGGGGCGCTGCTCCTGGCCGTGGCCTTGGGGCTCGGGGCGCCCGGGGCGCGGGGCGCGGTGGCCCTGGCCGACTTCTACCCGTTCGGCGCGGAGCACGGCGACGCTGTCACCCCGAAGCAGGACGACGGCGGCTCGGGGCTGCGGCCGCTCTCCGTGCCCTTCCCGTTCTTCGGCGCCGAACACTCCGGACTCTACGTGAGTACCCGAGCCCGCGGGGCGCCGGGGAGGGCGCTGTGCCCTGGCCGCTGCCCGCCGCCCCGACTCCCGCCGCCGCCGCCGCCAGCAGCTTGGCACCACGGCGGCCAGAGGTGGAATGAGGACAGCGCTTCCTCCCTCGGCGGCCAAGGCCGGACAGCGGCCCGCAGGAGAAGCAGGCCGGGTGGGGGTGCGAGCTGCATGCAGCCCCACCGCCCTGGCGACCCGGCGCCTGCCCCGCCCCTGCCCCCGCCTGACCAGCCTGGAGCTTGGGCAGCGCGCACTGAGGGTCTGCCGGTGCTTAGTCCCAGCTTGGTGGGGGGAGTCCTGGCCGGGTCCGGACTCTTTCACAGACAGCAGGCACGGGCCAATTCTGTCTCCACCACTCCCAGGGCGGGACCCTGGCCACTAAGGGAAAGAAATGCTGAGCCTCCTCACTGCATCGTGCACTTTCTGTGGGTGGGCCACAGTGCACTGGCACCTGACTTCCCCAGATCGCCTGAATCTGGGCTAGAAAGGGGCTGGGCAGCCTGAGGCACTGTCACCTCCAACACCAATGCCCGGAACACAACCTCTGCCATTTCCACCACCATCACCACCACCACCTCCCATTCCCCCATCAGCCCACCATCAGCATCACCCCCTGCACTGCCACCTCCCCCATCAGCATTGTCACCTGCTCCATCACCCCCCCCCATCTCCAGCACCACCTCCAACATCACCTCCATCACCATCCACAGCTTTGGCACTGCTGTCATTCTTACCCGCCACTGTTCATGTGGCCTCTGCCACCTCCTTACCATCATCGGCTCCCTCTGCCACTTGGCCACCCCACAGCTGGGCAGCTGCCTTTTCCAAGCCCATGCAGAAAGGGCTCCTCACGTGGAGGGCAGCATCTGCTGATGGGACTGTGGTGGCAGGAGACAGCCATTGCTCTGTAGACACACCCGCTGGAAGTCCCTCTGGTCCAGGATTTGGACCTTGAGTCAAGACTGGCTTCAGAAATGTGGAAGGAGCAGGGCAGAGCTGTGCTCAGCTCTTTGGGAGCCGAGGAGCCCCATACATCTTAGAAATAGGAAAACACATGTTGGCACCATCTTACACAACACTGCATCAGCATGACCCTTGGGACTTAGCCAGGCTCCACTTTCCCACCCACGGTCACAGGTGAAAATATTATGAAAACAGTCGACCCCCTGACCAGCCCCACTGAAAACATCGGCCCTTGCCAAAACAACGGGAGAGAGGGCTCTGAAGTGGACAGATCCACTAGCAAAACAAATGGTTTCATCAGAAACCAACATTCTGACTGCTAACAAAACATAGCTCTTCATAAGAGCTTTTTCCTGAAACAGAGATGTTATTTGAAAAACACTTGCCTGTGTGGACATAGAGAGCCCCTTCACCTTTTCTTCCCTTCAAAGGAAAGAATGGAATTCTTGAGGGGACAATGCCCAGAGCACCTTGCCTGAAATAACCACGGGTTCTGTGTCAGGGAGGGAACGGACCAGCGGGCCTGGAGGCCTTAGAATCACAGCCAAAGGAGGAAGGGATGGTATCTGTTCTGAAGCAAGTGTGGGTCTGCCCAGGTGCCTCCCACACCCACTCAGGTCCAGAAGTCACTTTCCTGCATGTCCCTGGATCCAACCATTATCCAGCAGAGCACACTTGGACCAGCCCTGAGCCCAGCCCCCTGTGGCCAGTCAAGTGAGAACCCAGTTCACGCTCCCCCTGCCCTCTGTCTAGAGGGATAGATGGATGGATGGATGGATGGATGGATGGATGGGTTGATGGGTGGATGGGTGCCTCAGCCCTTTGACAGGACCCACTTGTCACTCAAATCAGCAGTGATGCTGCTTGGAGATCAATGTTTTCTGAGTCACCATGGAATCAGAACACAGGCTACACCCTAGTAAGAATTCAGTCCTGTGATACTTGGGGGCCCCCTTTCCAGAAGGCACCCAGCATTAGGCTTCTTCTCACGTCATAGCAGCTGCATGTGCTAAGTTGTGAGGCTCTGAAAATCATGGAGAGTCATTCCATTGCTAAGGTCCTACACCAGGCAGTGCTGCTAGAGGGTTAGAGCTGCAGCAGCCTGCTGAGGGGCATGATGTGTGAGTATAGATGGCAGCTGTGCCATGGCCTACGGGACTGGCCTAGGTGGAGCGACCATTCAGGGTGGCATGGAAAGTGAGAGGCAGCTATTCTGTAGAAGTCCCAGGTGCAGCCCCTCCCCACTCCACCCCCCACTACCTCCCTCGCCCCCCCACCCCCACTGGATTGGGTTATGGAGATGCAAAGGAAGATCTCGATTTATTTGTCACCAGGAACTGCAACTAGTGGCTTCAGGTACACGTCACCACTCGTCTTCTGTTCCCTCGTTGGGTGAAGGGTTTGCCAGATGGGCAACACCTGTGAAGGTGCCCCACCTGTGAAGGTGCCCCACCTGTGAAGGGCCCACAAGTTTGTTACAAGGTTCAGAGGCCAGGAAGGGGGTGCAGGATCCAAGACTGACCTGTTGGAATGGTAGACAAGGTGTGCCCTTTAGGGTCCCTTCCACCTGTCACCCCGGGGCCTCCTCCAACCCCTGCTGGCCTCTCACCCATGCTGCTCTGACCCTCTGACCCTCCTTGCCTTTTGGAACACTTTGGAGCCAGTCCCAGCACGCAGAGCTGAGTGGGAGCTGAGGTGGACAGTGTGCCCGTGGAGCCTGTGCCAGAGAGAAGGCATGGTGTCAACAATGAATGACCGAGGCAGGCTGCCTGCCCACCCTGAACATGCCGTCCCCACCCTGCCTTCCCCAGATCAGGGCCACCATGGCTAGTCATTTCTTCCCAAAACCTCAGTTTCCTCTCTGTGCAGTAAAATGCCCCCATCTGAGAATGCCCGTGACACATATCCAGCCATCACTGCCGCAGCTGTTCTGGCCACCAGCTCCAAGCCATCTACAAAAACTGCCCTGACCCACAGGGACAGCCTGGTGAGGTGCAGGCAGGCCTGGTGGTAGAGTCCTGCTTCTTCTGAACCCACAGAGCAAGCCCGTGAGAGCCCAGCCGACTCCAGAGCAGCCCAGGAGCTGCCCCTCTCCTTGCTGTGGGCGCCCTCATGGGCGCTTCCTTCCTGCTGTGCCAGAGCAGGGGAGGGGAGCAATAGAAGAAAGGAGATGCAGGGGTGGAATAGAGCAGGAGTTGAGGTCAAGGTGGCACTGGCCCCCCTGCCCAGACCTCCTTGGCAGCCTGGCAGAGGGCAGGCGGAATGGTCATCCTCTGTACAGATAAGGAGGCTCAGGCTAAGAAGGCAGATCCAGGGCCTCAGACTCCCATGTCTAAGTGCCTCCTTATCATTCCAGCCCAAACTAGCAGGACCCAGCCCCAAGTCCTGCTTCCTCCACCCACTGCACAGGGCGTGCAGACAGCCCCCGGAGCCTCTTCAGGGCCTCTCTCCCTTCCTTGTCCCCACATTGTCAGCAGCTGGGCCTGGCAGCTCCGCCTTAGAAACACGTTCACTTCCCAGCACCTGCAGGCAAGTCCCTGGGCCAGGCCACCGTCCCCACTCACTGGCTCCCAGCTGCTGGTCCTGCCCCTCAAGCCTGTTTACAGGGCTGCCAAGGAAGCATCGCCAAATGGGCCTCTCCCCTGCCTCTATTTCCTGCCCTTACCTTCCCCTGGTCTTTAGGCTGGAAGGTTTGACCCTGTGCACCTCACTGGGCAGCAAGCCTGGCCAGCTGGGAATGACTGGGGTGTCCCCACTCCTTATCTCTTGGGGACTCTGTGAAACCAGAACTTCTTAGCTAGAAGTGGCCAGCTTGCCAGGCTGTCTTCCCAGACAACTCGCATGGAAACCTGGTGTGTTCACTGCCCTTGGACTTCTTCACTAATGCATTCATCCATGTAGCATCCTGATGTCCTGCCTGAGGCCAGGTTGAGCCTAGGGGGCAAGATGTGGTGGCGGCAGCGTGTCACTCTGAGAGCTGAAGTCACTGTTTCCTGCTTTGTTCCCTGCGCTGTCCCAGCTTCCAGGAGAGTGCTGGCTCCTGGCGGCCTCAGTTGGTGCTAGTCATCCACCTTCTGACATTGGATGACACAACCGTGGTCCTGCATCCACACTCCCTGGTTTGCTTCAAGCACCGTTAGGGTTCTACAAAACAAACTTGCCCTTTCATACAAGTTTCTGTTGCACATGTGTGAGTGTTTTCCCATGCCTTGAGTATGTAAGAGCATGCTTTTTGGTGACAGTATAATATTTCCTCCAATCGCTGCACCGTGTCGTTTTAACCAATGAGTTGTTGACTGTGGGTGGTTTCAGGATCTCCCATGAGCTAATGTCGCCAGTGCACGACCCCTTGTGTGTCCTTATGCAAGTCTCCCACTCTCTCCTTCCTTACCGAGTGGGTCAGAAGGAATGTGCTTCTCACAGCGTCTGCCTGCTACCCGTCACCCAGGGGACATCCACATCTGCACCCTTCTCTCCTGGCTGAAGGAGTCACCTCATCTGGCCTGGGTCAACCTGCAGGCCACCACTCACTCAGCTCCTGCATGGTCCAGGACTAGGCACCTGGCCAGAGCAGATCCCAGTGTGGGACTCCACAGGGTCACCTGGGAGCAGGAGAGAAATGCAGAGCCCTGGACTCTCCCCAGCATGCAGGGGCCCCAGAATCAGCCTTTACTCAGGTCCCTGGTGCCTGTCCAGGTCCCCACCTGAGAAGCGCTGCTCCTCCTGAGGGCACCAACTGGCCTGCTCAGGGCACTCCTAACCCTGCAAGTTCAAGTATTACTGCCTCCCATGTATGCGTGCAGGGCTGGCTGGGACCAGCTGCCCTCCAAGGGCCCAGGCCACACGTGCTCCTGGTGGCCCCTGATTCCAGGCCATCCTTGTGGTCAGACTGATGATAGGGGTGGGGGCAGTGAGCAGGCCCAAGGACAGAAGAAGCTGGAAGAGTTGGCTCCCGGGGATGTTTCCCCCATGGGTCTGTGAGCAGGCGGCTGGGTGGGGCCTCCCCA